ACATTGAGAACATCTGGCCTTTCTATTATTCTCTCGCAAGCAAAAAAAAAAAAAAAAAAATGTCGTGTAAACTGATCTTTAGGCCAATTATATGGTCTAAGTGTTATGGTGTTTGTGTTGGCACTTCTGGCTCCAGGTTTTAAGAACTTAATTTGTAGCCACACCCTCCTGATGAAGACCATGCTTCTTACTGTAAATTACCCCAGGGGTTCTTTTATGCTGAGGCTGCACCTTTTCTCAGGAAGATAAGTACATGTAAATGCCTCGCTGACAGACTGGTGTGCGGAGCACTGTGGGAGGTCCTGTAAGAAATAGTTACAGGAGTGACATCGCCATGGGAGTAGAGAAGAAGGGCATAAGAGCAGATCCTGGGGCTGCTTTGGCATGTCCAACACTACATTGCTTTTCCTATTTGCCAATTTTATTATGGGAGCCAGGTGTGGATTGTAGACACTCCCGTCTGCAGCTCACTCAGAAGACCTGACACAGTACTGCCTCTGACCACCCTATCTAGAAAAGGTCATTACTGAGTCTGAGCATCTGTCTCCCCGTCTACAGAGAGACAGAATTAGTCTCATCTTCATTTACCAAACCCAACATCCTGGCAGTGTCCCGAGCCCTGCGCCAACACTGATGAAATGAATCCTCATAATGCCCGTAAGGGGCAAGTGGAATGTTTTCTCCCCACCCCCAGTTCACTCTGTGGGGTGTCTCCCAGTTGGAGGGGGCAAGGCAAAGGCTGTGAGTTGCTTCCTCTCTGGCTGCTTGATGAGAGCTCCGGCCTTTGTACTCAGCTCTAATGAACTGGGGGTCAGCAACCTTTAAACACTGATTTGCAGATTTGCTGGCGTATATGACATTGAGAACATCTGGCCTTTCTATTATCCTCTCGCAAGCAAAAAAAAAAAAAAAAAAAATGTCGTGTAAACTGATCTTTAGGCCAATTATATGGTCTAAGTGTTATGGTGTTTGTGTTGGCACTTCTGGCTCCAGGTTTTAAGAACTTAATTTGTAGCCACACCCTCCTGATGAAGACCATGCTTCTTACTGTAAATTACCCCAGGGGTTCTTTTATGCTGAGGCTGCACCTTTTCTCAGGAAGATAAGTACATGTAAATGCCTCGCTGACAGACTGGTGTGCGGAGCACTGTGGGAGGTCCTGTAAGAAATAGTTACAGGAGTGACATCGCCATGGGAGTAGAGAAGAAGGGCATAAGAGCAGATCCTGGGGCTGCTTTGGCATGTCCAACACTACATTGCTTTTCCTATTTGCCAATTTTATTATGGGAGCCAGGTGTGGATTGTAGACACTCCCGTCTGCAGCTCACTCAGAAGACCTGACACAGTACTGCCTCTGACCACCCTATCTAGAAAAGGTCATTACTGAGTCTGAGCATCTGTCTCCCCGTCTACAGAGAGACAGAATTAGTCTCATCTTCATTTACCAAACCCAACATCCTGGCAGTGTCCCGAGCCCTGCGCCAACACTGATGAAATGAATCCTCATAATGCCCGTAAGGGGCAAGTGGAATGTTTTCTCCCCACCCCCAGTTCACTCTGTGGGGTGTCTCCCAGTTGGAGGGGGCAAGGCAAAGGCTGTGAGTTGCTTCCTCTCTGGCTGCTTGATGAGAGCTCCGGCCTTTGTACTCAGCTCTAATGAACTGGGGGTCCGTAACGAATCAAAGCCCAGTGCACTAGAGTAGGTGAGCCCTGGGTGCACCCTGGGGGGTTACCAGCCACAGGAAAGGGGGTTCCCATTCTCTCTCCCACCCTACCCCACCCTTGAACCCCCGTTGCCCTGGCCTAGATGCCTTGGCAACAGCTGGAGGAGGTGACCTGGGGAGGTCTTTCTCCCACCTGACTCTCACCCCCAGCACCACTGCCTGCTTTTGTTCCATCTTTGGCTGATAGATGTGAGAGATCATCTTTTATTCTGTGGATCTTTTGAGAGCTTTGTGAAAACATTTGCAAATCCTGATGTGGTTATGAGCAGGAGTATTGGTAGAAGGCTGGGAGCTCCTGATTTTGTCTCTGGGCAAAACAGCCTCTGGTAAAAACCAGAGTCACAGGTGCACGGAGTAAGTCCATGGCTCCGGATGCACTAGCCTCTCTTGCCCCAGTCCAGTGGCCAACTCTATAGGAGATCTGGAGCCAGATGGGGACTCGACCCCAAGCACCAGCGGCTCTTTCCACAGGGTCATAATTTTCCTTCGTCTTTAAAGGAAATGAATCTCTGGAGCCTCTAGGTCTGACTTAGCATGTCTAGGAGTGAAGGGCGGAATAGGTAGTACAGGAAATCCCAATTCGGAGTTGTCCGTACAGGAATTTATCACAGATGGTAATCATTAGGGCCTTCACATCTTGAAGGGAAGAGCTTGATCCAGAATCATAAATAAACTGTAACCAAGGCTTCGATTTATAAAGCTATAAAAGAGAGCCACTTGGACAACTGGAAATTTACAGTACTGGGTTACAAATCAATGGAACGCCTGAAAACAAACGTGAGCTGGGAGTTCTGGGCAATGTAGTGAGAAAATAGTAACTTCTTTCTGCATTTACTGGACCCCTGAGTCAGAACCTAACAAGGTTAGACCGTGGTTTTATCTCACAAAAATGCAGATTCACATGCTGGCATCTAAACATGGCATTGCAACTTCTAAGCCAAACGCAGGCCCATTGAGCTTGACTCTTTCTCGCCAAGATTCTCTCGGGCTAGTATTATGTCTTGAAAATGAATTTTCAGTTCATTGCTAATGTTGCCCAAGCCACCACTTTTACCAAGTGGCTTCAAACAACTCTGTTTTGACTGAGTCTCTCTTCCATGAAGAGAAGCCTAGGGGGATCTGGGTGTTGGCACAACAAAGTTCAGAGCAAGGCCACTGCCATCCGGAAGCATCTCATCCACTCAGGGAGGTGAGGCATTACAGATAAAGCAACTGCAGTGTGCAGGCTGTGGTGGGAGGCGTAGACTGCCATGAGAGAAGAAATTAGGGAAGACACAAAGGAGGCTGGGATCCCCAGGGAAGACTGGAGGAGAAGGGGCTGGCAGAGAGGGGCTGTGTACAAGTGAGAGAAGGCTTGTGGGGCCATCCCTCCAACATGCATGCAGCTTGCCCTGTGCGACTCATCCTGAGCCAGGTCGCAAATTCAGTTTCCCTCTTGTGCCAGAACTCATGATCCCTTAAATGCCACAGTCTCATTCTCTTCATCCATTCCCTTCAAGCTCTTTCCCAAAGGGAGACTGGGCTCTCCAGTCATACCCCATTCAGCATGAGGCCAGGAACAACCCCACAGCTCAGCCCTGGGCTGAGTGTAACACTATATCCCAATAATTTGGTTTAAATGAGCAGGAGGATAAAAGGGAAGAGCAGCCTCAGAGAAGCTGGCCCCACCTAGGCCTCTTCAGGAGGTATCTAGGACACATAATAGAAGTAATAAGGTGCCCACAGGCATGGGAAGTCCAGGGAGGCCACAGGGATGGCCAATATCCTGCCCAGGCAAGGGAAGAAGACCTTCTGGGACAAGTGAGCTCAAAAAGGAGGTCACACACCAAAAGAAGAGCATGGTGAGTGGTAGGGTGGAGAGCTGTGTTCTCCTCCACTGCAGAGCCAGAGTGGATGGAAGGCTCTCAGTGCCTGGTGGGACAAAAGGTATCTGTCGGGGATCAGGGCAGGCCTGTCTGTGACTAAAGGATATCTAGAGCTGGCCTCAGGCTGTGGGCCTTCAAGACGCTACTGTAGGGAGGGGCTCCAGGTATCTGTTCTGCATTGTCCCATTGAGTCCCCAGGATGAGTGAGAAAAATGCAGAATTCAGGGTAGATACCTGCTGGGCAGTAAAAACTCCCCTGGTTGTATTGCTTCTTCGCAGCAAAAATACATCATGACTTTTTCAGCTACCCAGCCTAGTCTAGTGGTTCCCAGGCAGGCATAGGAACATCTAGGAGAGGGCCTCCTACAACCAGAACAAAGGCAGGATCAACTGTGGCAAGTTTTGGGCAAGTTTGTAGCTGTTTTGTGTCAGTAGGGAGAGCTACCTCCTTGCACCAGCGATTGAGGGAAACAAAGGGGGCACAGAGGAGGCCAGTGCTCAGGAGCCTTGGTGGATCACCCTCTCTCCATCTGTGACAACTCTGTTCCCAGACTAATTCTGTGCCCTTAAATACAATATAGGAGAAGCTCCATTAACTTTCTGCTGCCTCCAGGAGTGTAATTGAAATGAACTGAGGGGAGCCAGCAGGTGGCATAGTGGTTAAAGCACTGGACTCCCACATGCCAACCATGGTTCAAGTCCCAGACCTATTCTCTTGAAAAATCATTCTGGGAGCGAGCATGTGTGGGTGCATACCCAAAATCCCAGGAAGAGAATGGCCATCCCCCCTCAGGGGTGATTTCTCACTTTCCCTCTCATTGTCTCTCTTGCTTTCTCCAGCAAGTGCACACACCTATGGCAAAAATCTTAAAAAAAAAAGAAAAAAAAGAAAGAAAGAAAGAAAGAAGAAAGTAAAGACAAAGAAAGGAATTGAGATCAGTTCATTTTGTTTATAAAATGCAGGGACCCCCTCCTCAGAATGCAACAGAATACAACAGGAAGAATAGATGCTTTGAACTCTTAGTTTGATTTAAACCCCAATCTCACTTCTTCTCAGTTGTGTGACCTTGGGAAAATGACTTAACTTTTCTGAGCCTCCATTTCTTCATCAATGAAATAGAATGTTTGATAACACCTAGATGGCAAGCTGTGCGTCCGATTAAGGTCAGCCCCCTTCCCATTCTCCCCCTTGATACAATTAGCGACTCCAGGAAAAAATGAATTTTCACAAATAATTTTGCGACACAGCACAGGGAAAGGAGTGGGGAGCTAACTTGTCAAGCTCTACTCTGTGCCAGTGGATCATTGTCAACACCTGCTGTTTTCTTCGTGTCTCTTCCAAGTACAACATTTGCCACCTGCCCTGTTGCAAGGCCATCAGTTCACATTGCTTTCTCTGATTTTCTTCTAGGGGCGCTGTATCAACTTCACCAGAGTCAAGAACAACCAACCGGCCAAGTACCCACTCAACAACGCCTACCATACCACCTCGATGCCCCCACCCCTCCTATCCCATCCCCACCTTCCACTCTTCCCCCTCCTCCTCAGGCTCCACCTCCCAACAGGGCACCACCCCCCTCCCGACCTCCTCCAAGGCCTTCTGTCTAGAACCCAAAGTCTGTGCTCTGGGCTCTCTCAGAAACTTCAGGAGGAGGCTCCTCTATGGGGTCAGAATAAGTCTTTCCAGTTAGAGGAAATGAGTGGTGATAAACCCACTGATGCTCACACATCTTAACAATTGGTTGGCAATACCAGTACATAGACGATCATGACCAGCGGAAAGAAACAGAAATTTTGAATTGCCTGAAAATAAATGATGAGGCAACTACAGTCACATTTATAGCCAGCTGTCTATCGCCTCTAGAAGGTTCCAGAGACAATGAAACTGCCAAGATGCTCTCAACAGGATTATGTCTCATAGAGACCAATAAGAAAATCATTTCTCTGAGGGTGAAACATAGAGTTGGATAAGAAATAACATTGCTGGATTTTAAATGCTGCCTTCCCTCCATTCCACTTCCATCACTTGGCCCTTGGCCTAGGAACCAAGGAATCTTCGCCCCTGTGCTCCAGCCAGGAAGGTTGAGACCTTTGCCTTCGGTTTTGGAAAAGCTTGGGCTCCCCAGTGTGGAAGAAACTCAACATCAGATAGGTATCCCAAAGGAGGGTCGCCTGGGATTTGCAAATGGATAAAAATATGTGCTTTATTTTCCTTTCAAATTCTCCCAGTTTGCAAACGAGGAAGGGAGCAGGTGTTTACTGATGGAAAAGGTATGTTGTTGTGTTGATGTGTAAGTGAAATTAGTTATGTGCATTGACAGGGGAGTATTAATGGGAACACCCAACAGCTTCTAAACCCACAGCCCTCAGCCACTAGAGGTGGCTGTCTGGCCAGGCATGGCCACCTACATCAATAAACAACAGCATTGTGAGAGAGCAGCCTGTTCATTCACAGGTGTTCATTGGTTTTTTAAATCTGGATTTAGCTTCAGTGTAGGTGACTTGAGATATGAAGAAGTGAGTGATCCTTCTAGAGACAAACATGAGTTGATCTTCCCCACATAGCATCATTAGCATCTACCACACAATATCATAGATTTTTTTTTTTCCTTTCTTGGTAAAGCTGTGCACCAAAGACTTATAGGTAGAGCTGAGGGACTATGGCCATAATATAACATGAAAACTATCCCCAAGTTCTTCAGTTAGTCCAAAAGAAGTCATGTGTATATGGATGCAAGTGTATTTCTCCTTGGCTTTTCAACATATGAATATACACCAAATGTACCACATTTCAACATACACCAAATGTACCACACAGAAATGCTCCACCTGAAATTCCCACTATGCTGGGATCCACTCCGTGCCTCCAAGTCTCTCTGAATCTCTGATCAGCAAGCCTTATAATAATTTGTTAAACATTGATCTTCATCCCCATGGGTAAAAACAGGTCCTTTTTGAAGAACTCCTGTACCAGCCTCTTCAAAATGATCTTTTCCCTCCAACTTTCGCAATTTCTAAAATTTCTGTCCCAAGCCCCTCAAATTTGCAAGTATCTCCTGGAACAAAGCAGACTATAAAATACATTTAAACTTAGTGCTTTGTGCTATGGTCTCTAAAGATCCCTCAAGAACCCAAGCCAGCCCATTCTTTCACCTTAGAACAGACTCTGGAGGACCTGTCATGCATCCCATCAACACCAATTCTTGTGCCATGGCAGACAGTGCTAATGAGTCGTAGCACTATTTCCCCTTAAGCCCAATGATTTCTTCACAGTCTTCAAATCACAACCTCAAAGAGCCACCACTCACCATTCAATTGAGACAAGAACCCTATTTACTATCTCTACCTTAGAAAGCAAAAGCAGAGTACTTGTGAGAGAATGGGGTCGCCCACAGGCACAAAAGGTCCAGTCAGGGGAAACTAGATCCAGGCAGAGTGCTGTCATAAGGCACAGGTGCTGAATCTGCAGCACCAACAGCAAACTGACACTTCTCCAAGGGTACCTCAGACCCGTCATTCTCAAATGGCTGCCACTTCCAGAGACTCTCCCAGTTGTCTGAGAGCTAAGACCAAGACGGTTTACAGGACTTACGAAAGTAACCTCCCTTCCTGTCACCCAACCCTGCTGCGTTGTCTATTTAGAACACTAGGCTCCTTCTTTAGTGTAGTCTCCCGTGAAGCAGGGGCCACCACTTCTCGGCCACTTGCAGTCACATTGTTGGACCCAGGAAAAGCCATTCCTTAGGAGAATGGGTTCCCCAGGCTCACAGCGTAGAGACTTTGAGCCTATGGCAACTGTTTTGACTGCTGGCAGTACAAAACGGTCCACCCGCACCACTGCCGCATGACTGGCGGCCGTCAGAAGTTCAAGCCAAGATGCTGACATTGCTGTGCAACACGATGGCCAGCATCAGGGGAGTGCAATGTTCAGGATCTCAGCACATCAGTCAGAGACCCTGGGCAGTTTCCAAGATGTTCTGGTGACGTGTTTTGATGAAATAGGGAACTGCAAATATATGATGATTTTGAAAAAGATGACTCATCATGTCATCCCTAGTCATTTAGAATTAGTTAAGAAGGAGAAACTTCCATACACGGTGTGAACACGGTAATATTTTCATAGTAGGCTATGGCAAGCAGGAAGATTCCTTAACTGGTTTACAAAATCTATCAATACTTGTGTCATTCCCTGTACAAGGCAGGAGATAATCTGATTGTGATCAGGAAACTGCACAAAATGTTTTTTTAACCCCATGTCATTGTCCTTATGAAGTGTCTTTTTTTTTTTTAATAAAAGCCAAATTTTGGTTGTATATATTCATATTCCATGTGTTAGATGGAAGCATTTTCTATCCAGTGTGAATAAAAAGAACAGTTGTAGTAAATTATTATAAAGCCAATGATATTTCATGGCAGGTTATTCTACCAAGCTGTGCTTGTTGTTTTTTTCCCATGACTGTATTGCTTTTATAAATGTACAAATAGTTACTGAAACGACGAGACCCTTGTTTGCACAGCATTAATAAGAACCTTGATAAGAGCTGTGGTCTTCTCTATTGACAACCAGCTCACAGTTGTTTGTCTGGAGCTTGGTACACACTCCAGGGAGATACAAGGTCTCTCTTTTACCAAGGTCAAGAACAGAGCTAGCGGATAAATTCATTAATAGTCTTGGCTATCCAGCCATTTTAAGTTTCATTAGAAGGGGCAGAGATGATCTCAAAGTGTCATACAACCAAAGTCCAAAAGTCAAAGACACTAAGGTAAAGCCATAGACACTACATCAGATGGGAAGAAATCCATCAAGGAACTAGAATAAAATCATAATTATGAGATAATAAGCAACCATTTCAGCCCAGTGCCAACTCAATAAACAAAATTAATGCTGTGTAAAATGGGTTGAATTAGTTTGCAAATGATATCAAAATCTATGTAGCAAAAAGCCTGTAATACACACCAGGCAAGAATGGAGTGTTCTAGTCAGTTGCCTTTTCTAGTTATCTGAGCTCTACTATATTATCATACTTGGATAGCCAATTTTTAAAAATTAGAATATGATGTTTTTTAAATACGCATAACATTAAACTCTTCTCTTTCTTCTTCTGTGATAATTCAGAAGACAGTTATGGATCTTCAGTGCCTCTGAGTCATTGTTATAAAAAAAAAAAAAAACAGTTATCACTGTACCATGCTATAAGAGACTGGGCTGTACAATGACAAACCTTGAAAGTTGTTTAAAAAAATAATAAATCCTAAAATGAACTCTTTTACTGGTGATTTGTCTATTTGTTCTAAAAAATAAAATGTAGAGTGTTCAAGTGATTGACATCTTGATCATAATAAAATACCTATCATTCTGTATATTTTTTAAGAGATATTTTTGCCATAATGCACATGCACTTGCCAGAGAGACTGAGAGACAGAAAGCGAGAAATCACCCCCAGGGGGATGGCCACGCTGCAATCCCTTCTCCTCCATTCTCTTCCCAAGATCTTGGGCACGCACGCACTTGTGCCCAGTGTGAGCTTCAAGCCACTGGGTCTGGGTCTTGAAATACGGTTGACTACATGAGAGTCCAGCAATGTAACCAATACACCAGTTGTTGGTTCCTTGTTCTGTATATTAAATTCTATTTTGCAAATGGTTTCATGCCCTCCACAAAGCTCTGTCTTGATCACTGTCATTTTTTTTCTTCAGCTGTTCAAAATATTCTTTTTTAAAATTTATTTCTTCCATGAACAAGAGAGACAGAGAAAACCAAAGAGCAACAGGATCCCCATGCCACACTTCACAATAAATTTCAGCCCTAGGGAGTGGGTGAGCATGTGTGTGAGCATTCAGGGAAGTCTCTGGACACAAACTCAGAACCTTCCTATGAGGGCAGAGCATTGCATTTTACTATTGTGCCCCATCCAGCCCTCATATTCCTTATTTCTAGTAACAGCTTTCAAAATAAAAACATAATATAGGCCAGCCACAGTGGCATAGTAGTAACCCATCCTTGAATCCATCTTAATTAGAATAAAACTATCTAAAAACAGAAAGTCATGCCACATTTTCCCCAAAGTTTACATCAGTACCTACTTCACTTTTTAAATTAATTTATTTTTTTAAATTGCTATAGAGCATATGCATTTATAGGAGAAAGAGAGGGAAAGTGAGAAACTACCCTCCAGGTGGGATGCTCATCCCTTCTCCACTTTCCTCTTTCAAAATAAATTCTAACTCTATTTAAATGTAATAAAGAAAACTAGGAAAGTACCAGACGTGGGGAAACTTTTCTGTACAGCACAAAGAATTTAAAAACCTAGGCTGGACCTGTAGCCTAGGGATTAAGCCTAGGAGCTAGATCCCACACAGTTCAAATCTCAGGCCAAGTGGCTTGAAAAACACTCCCAGCATGTGTGCATGAGTGCCCAAAATCTCAACAGGTTGAAGAAATGGAGGAGTAATTATTGTATCGTGACCACGTCCACTGGGAGGATACTTCCTCCCTTTCTCTATCTCTGTTTCTCTCTAGCAAGAGTAAGTTCCCTGTGACAATATTTAAAAAAAAAAATTTAATTATACATATTGTCTTCATGGCCAATCAGTTTTCTCATGAAATCATTTCAAATACCTTGAGTAGGGCTCCAGTATATTAAGTTGATAAACAAAGGAATCCTTAAGGACAGTAATAAGATCATTCATCAGATACTAACTGCAGCATGAGCTTGAGAGCCACAATTGTTCACCACTAAATCTCATTTTCTGTCACGTAAGCATAAAGCAATCAGAGTAATGCTTTGTCCATTCACATACATTTAAACCAGATCCATGTTACTTCCAACTACTGAACGTTTGGTGTGAGGTCATAGAGTTGGCATAGCAAAATGACAATTGTCATTCTAATTACTATTACAATTTTTTTCAGACTATATTGTGTTGTGTTTGCTTGAACCATGACACCCCACCCCAGAGTTATCATAGCTAAAGAAATTAGAAGCCTTATCTTTCCTCTAGGTGTAATCCTTGATTCCTCTTCTTTTAACATTCAAATGATCACTAAGTTATGTAGATTCTTCTTTCTGTACTTATCTTAGGACATTTTATTTTAATTTTGGAATTTGAACGTTTTTCATCCTCAATGCCATTTTGCAGTGTATTTACAAAGAAACAGCAGCAGTTAAAATTTTGTCTGAGTAGCTTGAGAGCTCTAAGCAAAGCCCTGTTAAAAGATGTTCAGTTAAATATTCACATTTGGTACTTAGCAGGCATCTTCAGCTGGGAGTTTCTTGTAAACATTTAAAAAGATGTAACTCATGAAAGACACTTTCTTTTGTGTAGTCAAATAGTTTGCATTCTTACAAAAGATTTTCAGAAAACTTTCCACTTTCTTCTGAAAGTGAAGTCTTAATTTTAGAAGGCCTGTCAGCCACCCATGACTAGCCCCTTCTAAAACTGCACCTCCAGGAGTGGCCATGAAAGCCTGAAGGACAGCTCCCTCTCATCACATTTTTTTAAATTACCAAGGGGCATGGGTGCTCATGAGAGAAAGAGAGAAAAGAAGAAGAAGGCACCCCTTAATGGAGCCTGATCAAGCTGCAATCCCTTCTCCATTTCTCCACCGTCAGGATTTTGAGCACGCACACACACACCCCTGATGTGATTTTCAAGTCCGAGGTACTGGGATTCAAACCACAGTCAGCCACGCAGGATCTGGTTCCCTTAACCACTAGGTTATGGGGCCAGCCCCACATTTTTTAAAAATACAAAAACTTTAACATTTCTTTTCCTGTAATTTCACCCCAATTTTACAATATACAAAGCCTATATCTTTTTACCTAGTTCTACCTTTATTTACAGGAATAGGATTCTCCCTCCCTGGAATGGATCCTGTTCAATTCCTCTTATTCCTAATGCTGAGAAAGATGGTGGGCTTCTCATTTTGTAAGACCAGGGCTGTGGGTCCCATTCATCTCTTCAGGAGAGAATTTTTCATTTTTCATTTCTACTTCAAACAAACATGTAAATATTTGTTACAAATAATCTCTCTTTTTTTTTGAGAGAGAGATTTTTGCTATAGAGCATGTGCACTTCAAGATCTTGGGCACGTGCCCAGCATGAGTTTAAGCCGCCAGGTCCAGGACTCAAACCACAGTAGACTACGTGAGAGTCTAGTAACATAACCATTATGCCATCTGCTGGTCCCAATAATCCTTTCTCATGCCATACCCCTCCAGGCAGAATCAAGTGTAATGAGGATTTCTTGACTATTGCCAGTGTCTGTGTTCTATCTGCCCCAGTAATGTAACCACTTCGAGGAATGAGACCTTCCAAGTTAAGGAGAATTTGATTCCACCTCATAAACTTGTCAGACATTTTCATTTGCCCCATCAAAGCTATCTAAACAAACACTGGCTCTTGGAGGCCCTGACCACTCCAGCTTACTCCCTGAAACTGTTGGTTCTCCCAGCATTCTAATGTTTGGATCAATATTTTTATAGGCTCTTTCAATATTTACTTTTAGGAGATCCTTAAACAACCATTATCTTTACTTGATCTTGAACCAGTAATAAAAACAAACAAAAAAGGATTCTGTCCAGCACTATATCCTGGTATAATTTATTAAACAAACAAAAAAAAAATCTGCTTCCTTAGCATGTTAGGAATGGGGGCAGGGGGAGGAATCCTTAACACTATAAAAGGTAGCCACCAGAAATCTACGGCAAGCATTATTCTTAATGTTAAAATGTTAAAGTATGTCCTTTGTAATCAAAAACAAAAAAAGGATTCCAAACATCATTACTACTGTCATTCTTTGGTCCTAGCCAGTGCAATAAAACAAACATAGTTTAAAAACTAATTACAGGACCAGACCTGTGGTCTAGCAAGTAGGGGAGCTGGATTCCACATGACCAAGATGTGGAAGTGAAGTTCGAATTCCAGCCCTAGTGGACGGAAAAACTCTCCAGGTATATGTGTATGTCTGCCCCAAATCTCCCATAAAGAAATAGAGGAGAAGAAATTGTGGTGTGACCATGCTCCATTGGGGTTGCTTCCACCTGTTCTCTCTCTCTCTTTCTCTCCCTGCGGCTTATAAAAATAATAATACAACTATCAGGAAGAAAAAGCTGCCATTTGGAGCACTGTAATTGACTACCTAAGAATTCCATGAAAAGCATCAACAGTTTAAAAAAAAAGTTCAGTGAGGCAATCCCATACAGGAAGTCCCAAGTCAAGTCTGGAGACCTGGAGACCTTCCTGAGTCTCTGGGCATACTCGCCCATGATCCAGGGCTGGCTAAGGCTGGGGTGGATCATGCTTTCAAGACCCTGCTGAAGGTGCCATCTCTCTTCCCTTCTTAGTCTCTCTCAATTGTGGAAATGTTTTAATTTTTTTTAAAATTACATGAGAATCTGTTTTTTAGAATTAATAAAAGAGATCAGTAAGTTGACTAGGTACACAGTCAACACAGAGATGACCAATTTAAAAAAAAAAAAGAGAGAAAGTTGTTTATTCACAATAGAAAAAATACATACATACATACACACACACACAAACATATACAAACACACATATATATATTAGAAATAAACCTAACAAGGGGCCAGCAGGTTGTGTGGTGATTGAGGTGCTCTGGTAAGCACATGTGCCCTATAACAAATTAAATAATAATAATAATTTTTAAAAAAAAGAAATATATCTAACAAAAAATGTGCAAGGTCTATGGGAACTATTAAATTTCTATGAACTATGCTTAACAAATGAGTTGTACTACATTTCTGAATAGGAAGACTTAATATTGAAAGATGTCAGCTCTTTCTCAAATAATCTACAAATTAAGATCAATACCAATAAAATTCCAACACAATTTTAAAGAAATTTCAAATACTGATTCTAAATGTTAATTAAAAATAAAAAATGGACAAGCATAGCCAATATATGGTAATAAAATAAAACACTCTTCAGAAACAGACCTATAAGTGCATGGAAATCTAGTTTATGATAATGGTGGCATTTCCAAGGGCTAATTTATTAATAAATGACTACCTATTAATTATTAGAAAAAATAAGATAAAATTCATAATCTGCCACATAAAAAAAAATTAGTTGGGTTAAAAAAAAAAAAAAAAAAAAAGGTGTGTGTGTGCCCCAAATCCCGAGAAGAGATAGAGGAGAAGGGATTGTGGCACACAATGGCCATACTCCCTGGAGGGTGATTTCTCCCTTCCTCTCTCTGTCTCTCTCTGTCCCTCTGGCGAATGCATGTACCCTATAGC